TATGACCAACCTAGACAGCATATTTAAAAGCAGAGACATTACTTTCCTTCCAAGGAGTAAGCGTCTTTTAATTTCATGGCTGCAATCATCATTTGCAGTGATTTTGGAGCCCCCCAAAATAAAGTCTGACACTGTTTCCACTGTCTCCCCATCTATTTCCCATGAAGTGATGGGACCAGATGCCATGTTTACATCCCACCAAAATTCACATGGTGAAAACCTAATGCCCACAGGTGATAGTATTAGGAGGTGACTAGGTCATGAGGATAGATCCCTCAGGAATGGAACTAGCACCTTTAGAAAAGAGGCTCAGAGATCTCACTCACCCCTTCCACCATGGGAGGGGGCATGAGGAGTCCACAACCTTCAAGAAGGCTCTCACCAACCGTGCTGGCACTCTAATTAATAGACTTCCAGCTTTAGCACTGTAAGAAACAGATTTCTATTGTTTGTAAGAATCGTCCCCATCCCCTTTGGTATGGGGGACTGGTTTCATGGAAGACAATTTTTCCATGGAACAAGAGTGTAAGGCCCCCAAGTTAAGTGATTTAACCAAGTTTCAAAAACTAGTGGCAGTTATGCAACAGCTATAGAAATGTCAGATATTAAGAGGTCTTAGGATATGAAATCATTGCACAATTGGTTCTATTTTAAAATAAAAGCAGTTTTAACCTGGATTGAGTAACTACACTCTGAAACCAGTGAAGCTCGTGTCTTTCTGTTCTGACATTGCTTTTCTAGGCTGGCACATTGTGTTGAGAAGAAGAACATAAAAATAGACCATAAATGAAAATTACGTTTACTATTTGCTCATGATCAACTTGATATTTTTGAAAATCACTTTCTATAAAGTTGAGATTTGGGGATCAAGTGACTTTTTATTTGATGTCTTCACCCTAGTGATCACAGTTTTCAGAGTACACATTTCCAGTACTAAGAAAGAAAAGGCATCTAAGGCTTGTTTATTCTCTTACATGGGAAAAACTGGGTTTCCAAGGATAATTTAAGAATTGTAAAGGACTTCCTTAGTGGTCCAGTGGCTAAGTCTCCATGCTCCCAATTCAGGGGGCCCGGGTTCAATCCTTGGTCAGGGAACTAGAGCCCTGCTGCTGCTACTGCTGCTAAGTCACTTCAGTCATGTCTGACTCTGTGTGATCCCACAGACGGCAGCCCACCAGGGTCCACCGTCCCTGGGATTCTCCAGGCAAGAACGCTGGAGTGGGTTGCCATTTCCTTCTCCAATGCACGAAAGTGAAAAGTGAAAGTGAAGTTGCTCAGTCATGTCTGACTCTTCGCAACCCCATGGACTGCAGCCCACCAGGTTCTTCCATCCATGGGATTTTCCAGGCAAGAGTACTGGAGTGGGGTGCCATTGCCTTCTCTGGACCTAGAGCCCACATGCTGCCACTAAGAGTTTGCATGCCACAACTAGCGTCCACATGCCACAACTAAAGAGTACATATACAACTAGAGTCCACATGCCGCTATTAAAGTGTTCACATATAACTAGAGTCTACATGCCACAACTAGAGTCCTCATGCTTCAACTGAAGATCCCACATGCTGCAATGAAGCTTGAAGATCCTATGTGCCATGATTAAGGTCTAGTGCAGCCAAATAAATAAATAAAAGATATATATTTTAAAAGAGTTATAATCATTTCATTTCTATGCATTTTTCACTTAATCTACATATTATTTTCAATACCATAGAATTTGCTGCCTACTATTTAAGACTCAAGTGAGTTTAATGAAGGCATATTGCTAGAAAACTTGGCTTCAGCACTGGAAACGCCACATGCTGCAAGGGGAGACCAGGCTGAAATGACAATGAATCAGTAAAAAGGCTTATAAACATATTTGTTATCAATGCTTTATTGTTGAAAACAAAATCAAAATTCTCTGGCACATAAAACAATTATTTCTACAAAAGGAAAGCCTACAAAACTTGATAATTTATACAAATAACAGTTTTTCAAAAAAATAAAATTTTAATTTAGTAAACTTGTCTTGTGCTCTATAGTTTTAGCACTGTCTGCAATAATCCACCATAAATCCCTGAGCGGAGACATTTTTTTGACCATGTTCTATAGACCTCCCCCAACCCTCCCCCCAAGTTGGTCAGTTACTAAGTCCAGCCCTGTAGTGAAAGGTGTCAGGGACATTTAGTTATTAATGATCCATGCATTTTATGACACAGGTCCAATTATTATGCTACTTGGGAACTGGGTCAACATGAAGTGCCTCTACTGTGCATTCAGTGAAACTATCAAGAACCAAGTGTGTGAAAGGAAGAACAGTAACAATTGAAAGACACAAAATGTTAAGACGAGGAAGCCATCATACGTCAATAACTATTTAAATAAATAAAAATGTTAGACATTGAATTCACCTCTATATCCTTATATTAAATTCCTTTTTTCTTTTCTTTTTCTGCAATTGCCAATGCACTAAAAGATGAAAAATATACCTCAACCCAGGCTTTTGGTTTGACCATGGGTTTGTTGTTGTTAAACATTATATATCATTCTGAAACACAGTGATTTAGTTATAATTTAACTTTTGGCCCTTCAATGAAATGCTTACCAATAATAGGTTACATATTTGGAGGGCCTTCTTTTAATGCCATTAACAAATCTCTCTCACTACATTATCTTTCTCACCAAAACACTAATGCCATAGAAGCACTACTTTAAATTCTTTACCCCACCATATTCAGATACACAGCAAAACATACAAAATATGAAGAAACACATGATCTATTTGAATGTGTAGCTTCCCTTAAATGGGGATGCTGACCATATATATGTGGAGTATGAAAGGACAAGAAAAAAAGCTAACTTTAAGTTGCAGAGAACTGATTTAATGAATCAAGTTTTGTTATTTTGCTATGGCAGAATAATAAATAAATAAATATGTATTGTATAGCTACCTTCTCTAGGAAGAAGTGGAAAGTGGATTGCTGTTTTTACAAAGTTAATTTTTAGTAGCAAAGTTTGACTGCAAGTCAAAAAATGTTCAATAAATGTTTCTCTCTACTTCATTTATAGTCTTTTACTTGTGAAATGATCACTGAAGTGGTTACTAAAAGGCAATGAAATAAAATGCCAAATTTTCTAGTGAAAAATAGTTTTCAACAGCGAAAAGCACTTGGCAGGAAACCTAGAAGCACGTGGACTAATGCTACAGTCTACTGCAGCTTAAAATAAGTCATTTTTTTATGTCTTTTGGGAAGAACAAGTATGATTAAAAATAATTTCTCAAAAACTTATCAGCACTGCTGTTCGGGTACCTATTAGAAAGTGATTAACATTTCACACCAATTCTTTTCAAAATATAAAATTGTCGGTAACATTGTCACCCAGACTTGATTTTTAACCCAGCAACATCTGGAAGGCACAAGCATCTTCCCTTTTGGACTAGCTGCTGGTTGGGTATTGGAACTAGAACACTTTTTAAAGTTCCTTTTGATTTACTTTCTTATATAAGCATGGGCATTAACTAGGAATAGCCATTTTACAAGGCAATTTCAAAAGCCTAAGAATTAAAACAATGAATTCTCCTAGGCAGTTTTGGGAAAAGTTGGTGATGCCAAAGTAAAAAATGCCTGCCTGGCACACATGGGCCTCTCCCCTCCCCTCCCCTCCCAGGACATCAGTGAGAAACGTGGTTTGCTTTCTCCTGCACATCCATTACAGAACATGAAAAGCGAAGGATGCCCACATGATGGTGATATCTAAATCATAAAATGTTATGTGCACCAGTCAGGAAACAAATACAGACTCTGACAGATCCTGACACAGTATTAGAAAAAGAAAAGTTTTCTAAGTTCTGGAAACTGATAAGTAGGCTGGCCCAAAGAAGGAAGGCAGCAACGTTAAGACAAATGGCCAGCTCACCAGAATTCACACCACACTTGAATCACCGCCCATGAACACTTGACCTTAATGGTTTACCACGGTTGAAAAGACACTCTTGACTTTCTCTCACAGTGTTTAAGGAACAGTATAATTTCTAAATTAGCTTTCATAAAAGAACCACATTTGAAACTCACACCCCTTCCCCCTTTTAGAATGCCAAAAGATCCTGTTAAGTGCTTGGGTTTACAGTTTTATGGGTAACGATTATATCCTTCAGGAAGTTTCCAACATTCCCCATTTTTGGTGTTGAAGGCTGCGTCCATAGCAAAGTGGATACTCCCAGAAGTGGCGGTGGCCTCAGGGACCTCTGCCCCGGGTCTCCAAGTCCGAACTAGCTCTCGTCGTAGCACTGCTGGGAAGCTCTGCTCCTTCATGAGTCCGGGTTCACGTATGGAGGAGAGCGCGGTGTGGCCTTCCTGTGTCAGGTCTTGGAAGTCTTCAAGCCTTGCTTTTCCATGATGTTCCAGAGTTTTCGGAGATTGGACTGTGTGATGATGTCATCTGGCTTGAGCTGTAGCGCCCGCAGGTAGTTGGCCTCAGCCTTCTGAAGCCGGCCGTTGAGGTGCAGGATGGCTCCCAAGTTCATCAGAGCAGCCGGATACTGGAAGCAGAGAGAGGAAGGAAAACGATTAACAGACCCTGGTAAGCTTTCCTTCATGGAAGACAAAGATCTTCATCCACTTATGCAAATGATTCCCTTATGTCTGGAGGCATTTTATGGAAGCAATTTAGCAATTTATACCAATAGATAAGGATACCAGAAAGGAAAAAAAAAAAAGCTTTCAAACAGCTGCTGTGCACTTTGAGCTTTAAGGAGAGCAGGCAGTTAGGGAAACAGTTGTTCCTTTAATGAGAAAGTAGAGGTTACATATGAAGACCTAGTAACACAGTCAGACTGTCCTTTCAGGAGAAAAAAAGTTAAAAGGGATACAATTTTAGATGGAAAGAACTGAACTTCTTTTCAATTCAATGCCAAGAAAAAAAAAGAACTAAGTGGGAAAAGGTGACAAATATGTGTCTTTACTGATGTTTTTAGGGTGAAAACTCTGAAAAATATTCAAATGTAACCACTAAGACCCTTTCTAAATTTAACTCAAGTAGTTTAATGAGATAAAGTTTTAACCTTTTAACTTACAATGGTCAATGTTTATAATAAATATAGCAACATAGTATGTAGTATTATTTCTAAATCAAAAACTATGCTGGGGGATGGGGTATGGTTGAATAGCTCAAAGTAAATCAACTGGGAAAAGATGATCAGATTTGGATTTGAAGAGATCCGGATTTGAATTCTTGCTTAACCACCAGCTGTGACCTTGGTGAGGTCCCCTAACATATCTGTGCCCCAATTCTTCCATTTATGAAATACTGAAATAACATCAGTTTTTTGCATGTTGTTAAAAAGATAAAGTGAGAAAATAAATGTAGCATAGTACATGCACATAATAAACACTCTACAAATGTCAAGTTCACCTTTTCTTGTCTCATTTCGCTTGAGGTCTAACACATGCATGTTTATGATTTTTATGTTGTTACACATACTTTATAATTTTTATTTCAATGGCTGCCTAACATGTCTCTGGATGTACACCAAAGTTCTCTTAAGTCAACTTCTGGGCACTGTTTTCCAACTTTTCTGTATCCTTTTTCCTTTTCAAAAATAATGTTGCAAATATAAACTATTGCTGACCTTCAAAAACCTTTTGGTCAGGATGACTCCACACTTATCAAGAAAAATACAGATGGTCAACTTCTAATTTTAAACACCAAGCCAAATAAACATAGCTCTAAATTACATGTGCAGTGAAGAGCTCCACATAGGGAACCTAAAATACCACCACCTACTCTTGTCTTTCTAAAAGAACTTTTTATCATACCACACATTATTATACTGAGTTTCTTGATGCTGCAACACATTTCTGAATTATGTTTATTCCCATAGCTTAGCACAACTGTCAATAAACAGCTACTAAATTGATGGTGAAGCATGTTCACAGGCTGACTTACTGGATATGCAAAGTAGATAAAATGTTCAGACTCCCTCCTATCCAGAGTGGGAAGAAGGGAAATGGGGAGGGAGAACCACGGTTGGAGGTCGTTCCTTACTGACCAGAAATAGAAAAGGCGCAGTGATGGGGCTGAGAGAAACCAGATGGCTCTGTGGGGTGGTGGTTATTTCTTGAACCACTTTATTATCAGAGTCTGTACCTAACTATAATTGCAACTCAAGGGGATTATTAAAAACACTCAGAGGTTACAGAGTCACACTGCCTAGGTTCCAACGGCAATTCTGCCCCTGAAGTTGAGTGAGCATGGAGACCAGTTTCTTCTGGAAACGGGATAACAGAACCTGCTTCATAGGCTTGTTGATATTATATGATCATGTAAAAGTGTCAATTCCTCTTTTCTGTCTACTCAGCATCTCAAACACACAAAGCAGAATCTGTCAATGCGCCTGAATGACCACTGAGTCCAAACGCTGAGGATTTGTGAACTGGCTCTGCCTATACTAGGTTTGAAGCCTTTCTTAGGAAAAGCCAGCTGGGAACACAGCTGGTGAGGCACTAAATACTAGGTCACATAAATAGGCTCTATTATTGCTACTAAACTGTGGCCTGGGGTCCTTCTCTTAGACTACTTCGAAGTAAACTGTTTGCTATCAAGTGATGAAAAAAAGTTAATATTTTCTAAGAAAACACAACTAGGAAGTTAAAGCTGTTATCAAAATAAGTTTGGAATGTTAATTTATAATGATGTTTTGAAATAATTGTAATTTTGCATTATCCATGCTAATACTCATTAAGCAAAAGTAATAAAAAAATTGACATTATGAAGTTCATGTGGGATAATCACTCTCTTGAAAGCTCACATATACTCATTGTGTTCTCTAAAGAATAAAAATCCAAATAAACTAAAACTGTGCATACTTAAGAATATCATTGAATATTGTTAAGCAGTTATATATTTCTATGTTCAGATGAGACATTTAGGTTTAAATATGTCTGTTTTAATAGAGTTTAAAAAAGTTTTCAAAAAATTTTAAAATTCTATGGACATATATAATGCTTAAAGCATCACTACAGCTTCTTACTTGAGTAAACAGAAACTGATGAAACTTACACGCCAGTGTGCTCACATGTGACGTGAGTATCACTGCCTTAGGTAACTACTTTAATAGTCAACCATTATATTGATAAACAGTTTCATGTTTTTGTTAAAAAGTTATGAATAAAAGTACATATAGATGACTTTCTTCTTACACGGTTGTTTTCTCTCTTCAAAGACAAGGGCTTTATCTTTTAAGCCTGTTATATCTCCCTTCCACAGCACTGACTAGGGTAGCTTAGTGGATGTCCACTGGACTGAATGCTTTCAGGTCTTCTAGCCTTGCTATAAAAAGCACTGGCCTTACCTGGGAGCTTGACAGCAACTCAGGATTTCAGGTGCCACATATTGAGTCAGAATCTAAATTTCAACAAGATCTCCCTGATGCTTTGTATGCTTATTAAAATTGAAGAAGTGCAGTTCTAGAGATCATTTCCAGATTCTAGATTATGTCCTTTTAGGTCTTCTGAGATGAAGTTTCCTATAAAAGGATGAAGTTCGTATAGAACAAAGCATGTCAGATCATATCTCTATCCTTTCATAAAGTAGGAGTCTTCTCTTGGCCATGTCATTATTTTAGGGATTAAATGTTCCAAAGAGACTTTATTAACAGAAGCCATAAATGACTAAATATTGTTAGGCAGAAGGAGAGGGAATGAGAAGAATTTCCATAACCAAAGAAGAGCATGTAAGTTTTCTAAATGCCTTTGAAGACTACCTCACTGTGTAACTGAAAGGCAAGAAGTCCAGGTGACTGGCTGTCTGATTACACAGTGGTGTCACTGCTCTCCACCAGCCGTGACTCATGGGCTGGGGAACAGAAACCCAACCACAACTGCTGATGTCTTCCCTCACACACAACCTCCTTATTAAAGACAGCCGATGAAATGTTCAGGATGTTAACCAAGGCAGTCAGGCAGCTTGCAACTCAGGAACATTCGGCTTGTACTCTTCACAGCAAATGACACCGGCTCCTACTTCACAGACTAGAAAGGAGAACCAGATCTTTCTTGTTTCCTTGAAGAGGACAGATGCTTTACATCAAAGGGGTTGACTAGAAGCCATACTGAGGCAACAAATGACGTCTTTTCCAAGTCTCTAGGGAATTATGCTTTTATTGTTACTTTACTGTGGTCTTTGGTTTACTTCTTTAGCACTGGAGGAAATAAGCAAAATTAAAATAATAGATGTATACTGGGGTGGGGTAGAGCACAGGCAAGATTATGAAAGTTTGATTCTAATCTAACGCTCTTGAGGCTCCCAAGGAAGCCAGCTGTACTCACAGGGTATCCTGATCACACCGGGGTGGAAAACAAAGTCATCTCCTTTGCCTTGCCTATTACATGCTCCTGGAAAGTTATCTATGGAGAAGGCATAGTGAGACCACAAGGGGATTTAGGACTGGGAATTCATCTTTCTACTGGGAACAGGATTAAAATATAGAATTTTGAACAGAGGACACTCTTTTCCTAGAAAAAAAGGAAAAGAAGAACTTGGTTGAAATGTTCTAGAGCTGAAAACCCACACAGTAACTGGCCTCTTGGTCCTCCAGTAGGCCCTGAGACCACTTCCTTTTTATAAAAATAAATCAGTAGGCAAGAGAAGCTATGGAAAAGATGAAGCCAGAGGTAACAGTCTAGTTTTATATATCTGTTTTCACTCCAAGTGTTGCTGAAATTATCCATATAGTTGTATGTTTACTGTTACAGGAATGAAATAAATTTTCAGAAAGAAAGGCTGTCTCAAGTTAGCCTTACCTAGGTATCACTCAATTAATACATTACACATTTTGGGAATGTTTTCAAGATAACCACCTTTAACTTCCCTTCTGAATTTGCAAACTTAAATGAGTTTGCACAGTCTGAAGTTTTTAACGGATTATTACTTTTTTTCAAGTAGTTGTACATGATAACTTAATGAAGGTTGCCTACTGCTGATGAACTGGCTTCAGCCAAAATTGCTTACCCAATTTAATTTACTGGAGCAGTAACTGTACCTTGATGCTTAAAAATTAATGGTATAAACTTTTAAGAAACATATTCATGAAAAAATTATTTTTGCACATATTAAAGGATCTCTTTATATTTATTGTGCCTTGTACATGGCAAATATTTAATAAATAATTATGGAATTAAAGTTTTTAAGATTATCAGGCTTGTGGAAGAAAAAGTGTAACATGGACTGAGACAAAAGCAGACATCTTATTCTCCTCAGTTCCAACACCAATCCTTCTTGGTCCCATTGGCATGCTTAATGGTCTAATGCCAAGCCAGAAGGCTAAATACCCTTCATTCACTGCGTTCTTCCACATGCACACATATACATTCATCTAATTGTCTTTTGGCAGCTTCATCCTCAAATCTCCCTTACACTCTCTTTTAATCATACTAGTTTCCTTTTTCCCAACTTGATTTAAACCATAATCATTTTTACAGATTGTTTAAATTCAATTATTTTGACAGAAAAGAAGAATAAATTAATGGGTAGTTGAAAAGA